AAGGCTGGGCTTTCTACTCCTGTAAACAGTAACCGTCTTGGAAACTCACCGAGGGTCCCCTAGGAGCCAGCCCTGACTTGGTGGCAGTGGGTGTAGCTGGGGATTGAGTTTGTGAAGGAATCCCCACACTGCTTCCCATGACAGTTGTACTCGTTGGCATTCCGACCAGCAGGGATGCCGGTTTCCCCACACCATCACCAACATTTGCTATTATACTCAATTAGCCGTTCTTTGTTTTGTTGTTCCTCTTAACCATCCGGCTGCTGCTGTTAGGTGTGCCATCAAGTCGGCTGGTAGTGACCATGTGTACAACAGAAAGGGACACCGCCTCAGTCACCCATCCGAGTGGGAGTGCAGTGGCGTCCTGTTGTGGTTTACATTTGCGTCTCTCTGTTGGCTAATGATGCTGAACACTTTTCATGTGTTTGGCAGCCATGTGAATATTCTCTTTGGCGAAATATCTTACTCAAGTTCTTTGTTCATTTGATGATGGAGCGATTTGTTGTTGTTGGGTTGCTGAAACATCTCTATATTTTGGTTTAGATTCTTGGATATATGGTTTCCGAAGATATTCTCCCAGTTGGTAGCTTGTCTTTTCGCCTTTTTGGTGAACTCTCTCGATGGACAAATGCTTTTAATTTTTCGGAGGCTCCATTTTGTCTTTCATAGTGTGCGCTTCTCTTACTATATTAGAGATAGTAATATAATAAAGCTAGGCCTGACAGAGGAGCCCCTGCTAATTCTTCTGAGATTTTGGGGGGTTTTGCTGTATAGTTATGTCCTTGAATTTGTATATTGTGTGGTGTAAGGCATAGAACCAAGACTTTGGTTGTTGCTGGGAGGGTTTTGACCACCGAATCCGTCTCCTCACTTGTGGTGGGCTTATTGAGACTTTCTGTTTCCTCTTGAGTCACTTTGGGTGGGTTGTGTACTTCTAACAATTTCTTTCTTTTATCACTGTATTATGGCTCTTTATCTCTTCTGATTTTGTTACAAAGTCTGCTTTATCTGATTAGATTCCTACCCCAGCTCTCTTCTGGCTATTATTTGTGTAACATATATGTAGTCTTTATCTTTTCACTTCCAGCCCCTTTGTGTCATTGGGTTTAAGGTGTGTCTGATATAAACAGCATAATACTAGGATCATACTTTTAAATCCATCAGTGAGCCATCTTCATTCCCTTCTTTCTTATATATATATATATATATATATATGTTTGTATACACACGTATGTACAGTGAATAGTTACCATGAATAGTTCTTCTTAGTGGTTACCACGAATAGTTCATTTAAGTACTTGTATTTATAACTTCTAGGGCAAAGTGTGTATTGGTAACAAACAAGACACTCACTGTCTATAGACTCCCTGGTATAGACACTCCCTGTCTGTACCAACCCCCTTTTGTCATTATTACCATCTATACCGTCTATATTGCCTGTGCCTTGTAACATAATCTTCACCGTGCCTTCTGAAGCCGTCTGAGTTTTGTTCCTACCATTTTGGTTGCTGGAGCGTTGGGGTGTGAGGATGAGAGTGTATGTATTGGTTTATTTGTATTAAGAGGTTTTGTAAAGAGAAACAAGGGTGACATCTTCTCGGCCTGACCTCTCCTCCATTCTGAGCCTTTCTTTTGAGGGAAGCCTTCGGACGTAGGGAACGTGTAATCTCCTACGGGACGTGTAATCTTAGGCCTTGATGGACGTGCCCGTCTGTGGTGATGCTTCTCTCTGCCGCTCTTACATTGGTCGAATCTCCTTGAACTCCTAGCTGCCTTTCCTTCTTGCCCTTCCCATTCCTTTAAAATCCCCGTGCACGTTCCCTCCACTCCGGGACAGCTTTTCAAGAGTGTGGTCGACCGCTGATGTGATTTTCCGCATCTTGGTTCTCTCTCCTCCTGGTTCCAGTAGGGAATTTCGTTACTTTGCTTTTTAAATTTTGGTTTCCTTAGAACTTTTTTTTAAAATGTAAATGAGTCATCTTTCATTTCAGCTTCCTTCACAACTTAATGCTTCTCATTCCATCCTGTACTTCTCTCTCTTTTTAAGCCCAAGGTCATCTTTTTCGGTCGTCTTCGCAAATACCACACACAAATGGTGTCCAAACGTGTCTGGCAGTAAATCATGTGTGTGGTTTGATTTGACTGGGAGTGTTTCATTCTGCGATCATGTTCCAGTCTCCTTTAGGCATTTTTATAGCTATGTCCTGTGACGATGATATTGTTCCTCATTGTTATTTGTAGTTCTCGATCAAAGAGGTGATGCTAGCTTTGGTATTTTCCAATAGAGTGGTTGTGGGAATTCCTCCTGGCCCGCCTCATCTTTTATAAAACATTGAAGTGAGATTTAGATGAGGGGCCTTTCCATTTTTCTATAAACTTTTGAAGTCTCCTCATATAACATACATTCCATCATGGTAGGTGTTCTGGTTCAGCACTCAGCTGCCAACCAGAGGGTCAATTGCTCTAGCCCAGCACCCTCTGTGCAGGGGAAACATGTGGCAGTGTGCTTCTGTAGGGACAACCGCCTGAGAAACCCTCTGGGGTCGGTCTGGTCTGCTCTGCAGCGTGACTGTGTGTTAGAATCCGCTCCACAGCAGTGGGATTTAAAGAAGAAGAAAGTCTTAGTGTAGTCATACCGCTGTGTGATCTCTCTAGCTTCACCACTTCCCCATCATGCCTGAAGAATTTCTTCCATCTCTTAAGTCATCACTTTCTACTCCCCACTTCCGCTGGATCCTGGCAATGACCAGTCCACTTTCTGTCTCTGTGGATTGGCTGGTTCTGGATATTTCATAAGGAGGCCATTGTCTTTTGTGTCACCGTTGATGCTTGGTGATCATGTGGGACTTTCCATCTGCCTGTCTTCCCTTAGCACGCGTTCAGAGATGCACCCAAGTTGCAGCATGCGCCAATGCCTCCTTGCTTGGGGGTATGGCAGGGGAAATTGGAAGGAAATGGAGAGCTAATAACAGCGAGTACAAGGAAGAAGACAATGTGTGAAAATTGATTGTGGTAATGATTGGACAACTCTTCTCGATGAGATTGAACTGTTCAGTTATAGGACAAGTGGATTATGTGCCACTGTCACTGTTTTAAAAAAATCCCATGTCTTTCTTGTGTCTGAAGAACAACGTCCGTTGTGTGGGTGCATCCCATCTTGTTTCTCCATGCATCCGTTGACTTGCATTTGACCTGGTTCTCTTGTCCAGCTGTGATGACTGGTGCTGCTGTGAGCATCCGTCTGGTCCAGCTAGGAAGGACTCCTATGGTAGTTGTAAGTTTGATGTTGTGAAGCACCACTGCCAGAATGCTCCCACAGTGGCTGTACTATTTGACCTTCCCATTGGATGTGCTTGGGAGGACCACGTTCCCCACCACCTTGCCTACACTTGTTACTATCCATTTGTTTGCTGGCTTGCATATTTCTAGCTATCCTGGTGGGTGTGAAATGATGTCGCATTGATTCTCCTCATTAATTGGGTGGTCCAGAGCCCACCCCCCCAGCCCCCACCTCCAACCAGATTCTCCCCAGGAGACCACCATGATTCACACGGGTGGGTCTGAGCGCGTTTCTTGGGTCTGACAGCCATTTCCCCCGTGTGGCTGCACAGGACGGGATAGGAAACACCTTTTGTCCTCACAACTAGGACAGCTGAAGCGATCACCGTGTTCTAAACCAGAAACCACCCGTGTCTGCACCATCAGGACGTCGCATTCCAGGCAGTGGCGATGGCACATCTCTGTGCCCTTTCACCCCCCAAGGCCTTGGGAGGAATGGAGCATGAGAGGTTATCGTGGACATGGGTTGGGGGTTCCGTGTCAGGGGAACGAGCTACGCTTCTGTCTAAGGAGGCCGCTCTGATGTAAGCATGGGCAGACACCAGGCGTGGACAACTACCGCTTTTATTCCTTATTGGCCTTGAATCTTCCTTGCAGAGATCAAGGCATGTGCCAGGACCCCCCAGCCTCTCTATCCAGCCCCATTCCTCCACGGGTTTGGCAAATCTTTGGCAAGCCTGGGTTCGGAGCTCCTGTCAATTTTGATGCCAGTATGGACAGTATAGCAGGCAGGGGGGGCGGGGATAGGATTGATGATTAGCCTGGTGCTATTTGAACCAATGAATTAATGCAGAAGAGTGAGGGGTCCACATGGCCTGCCGGGGGCGGGGCTGAAAGCAAGCATTGGACCTTGTCGGTTCACATCCTGTGGGATCAGCCAGGAATGTTCATGCGTTGGGAAAGGGAGAAAGGGAGTGAAGAGACTAGAGAGAGACAACTGGCGATTACGAGAGCCAGGGTGGAACTCCTAACGCTGCCCTGCCCAGCATTGGAATTGAGTTCAGAATCTCTCTGAGCCCTTGCTCGCCCACTGCCAGCGGGGACGGAGGAAATAGCTTCCGCATTGGGATGTGGTTGGAAGACGAGGAAACGAGAACATGGATACTGAGTCCTTAGAATTCAGTGCCTGCCTTCCGCAGGCTCCATAAAGGCTCCTGGCGATCAGTGAGGTGATGCGGCGGTGTTAGCAGAGATCTGGCTTAGTCAGTGCCCAGTCGATGCTGCTGCTCCTCCCTCTGTTTCCCCTTGTCTTCCTCTTCCTCTTCTCTGGCGGCTGCTGCGAAGTGTGCATGGGAAATCCCACACCAGGCTGGTCTGTTGACGTCCGATTCCATCTCGGTGGAAGGAAAAGAAGGAAGACCTTGGGTCAGAGTGTGCAGTGTGATTTCGAACCAGAGGAGGCCAGACGGGGGCTGATACGAGTTGGGTATGGCGCCGCTCGCTTTCAGGGGAAGCGACCATGTGCTTTCAGTTCAGTTCATTGAACCCCTACAATCAACCAGCCTTCCTGAGCCGCTCCCGGAAGGGCTGATTCAGGCATCAGAAGGTTCCCTGTGCTGGGGGCTCGGTGTTGGTCTTAATGCCTGGGACTGATGTTCTCCTTCCTTCTCTCCCCCTCTACCCTCTCCCTTCTCTCTGGCTTCTCCCATCTCCCACTCCAGGTGGAAAGGATTGTAGACAAGCGGAAGAACAAGAAAGGGAAATGGGAGTACCTGATCCGATGGAAAGGATACGGGAGCACGGAGGACACGTGGGAGCCGGAACACCACCTGCTGCACTGCGAGGAGTTCATTGACGAGTTCAACGGGCTGCATGTGCCCAAGGACAAGCGGCTCAAGTCGGGAAAGCAGCAGCCCAGCGCCTCCAAACTCCTCCGAGACAGCCGAGGGCCTTTGGTGGACAAGCTCGCCCACAGACCTTCAGAAGCGGCCAAGAGCAAAGGGGCTTCCCATAAACGGAAGCGGATCAACCCCTCCCTGCCCAAGCCGAAGAAAGGGCACTCCACGAAGCCCCCCGCGGGAGCCGACAGGGCCACCAAGACCGTGTCTTACAGGACTACCCCCAGCGGTCTGCAGATCATGCCGCTGAAGAAGCCCCACCACCACAGCGTGGAAAACGGGGACGCTGGCTCCGAGAAGGATGAGCAGCCCTTTGGGAACGGGTCCCACGAGCCCGGCTTGGATCTGAACGACCACGTGGGTGAGCAGGACGTGGGCGACTGTGACGTGAACCATGCCGCCCTTGCTGAGAACGGGCTGGGTAGGTGGCTTTTCCTTCTCTTGGGTTTTGGTCATAGCGGATGGTGACTTTGGTGCACTGCTGAGGGAAATGTGTGTGACACCTCCCCACCCCCACCCCGCCTCCCACCACCTAGCCAGCCAGTAATTCTCCCTTCGTCTCTCTCACCTAGGGCCAGGTGGGCTTGGTCATGTGCCCACATTGGGGACAGACACCTTTGCATGTGGGGAGGCCAAGCCACTGATGCACTCGCCGAGCTCTGTCCTGAGTCCGAAATTCCTGACTGCACCTCAAGACATTCAGAGCCATGGTAACCGCCCTAGAGCCCCAGGGTCAGCTGCATGCTCCCACCACTAGCACCACGAGGCTCCATGCCCCGATCTCCAAACCCTCCCTGCCCCCCCAGGGGTGCAGGCCAGAGACCCAGGGTCTGCATTTGGGGTCTGCTCCTCCTCCCCAACTCAATTCTGACCTGGAATTATCCAAGCCAGGCCATTGGCCAGAGCTCTCTCCCTTTCATCTCTGGTGGGGATGCTGGTCTGGCCACATGCTTCCACCAGGTACCACATAGCTGCCTCCGCCCCCCTGCATAGGTTCTTTTTGCGCGTCTTTCTCTACAATCCTGGGTTGCAGGCTGAGTCCCTATTGTGTCCTAAGGCCCCAAGGAGACATGGTTGTTCAGACTCCTAAGCCTGATAGTTCCTCCTGGCCACCCTGCTCCCTGACTGAGCCCTTGTGACCTGAGCCCGCCAGGTTGTTTGAACACACCAGGTATACCAAAAAACACCCCAACTCACTACCATGGAGTCGATGCCACTCAGAGCAGCCCTGTAGGACAGGGTGGAAGTGTCCCCTGTGAGTCTCCGAGACGTCACTGTTAGAGGAGGAAAGAGCCTTGTCTTTCTCCCACAGAGCGGTTCGTAGTATAAGCAGTACGCCACCAGGTCTCCTCTGCCAGGCATACGTATGCCCTTATTTGTCAGACACTTCCACTCCCCACCCCTCGCTCCCTTATCCACGTGGAGCAGCCATAGATCCCAGCTAGGAGCCCAGGGTTTGGGACCCTAACTGGGGGCTGGCATGCAGGGCAGGCTGGGGAGCTGACAGACACACCTGGGGTGATACAGAGGGATTCATGGCCCATGCTGGTGATGTCAGAGGGAGTGAGGCATGCTGGGATCAGGCTGCATCGAGAGACTTGCCCAAGGATGGGCGCAATCTGCTTCGAGGCTCCTCTTTCTCCAGAGAGAGGAACGTCACCCAAACAGGACCGATTTAGCAGCCGGGGCCCCAGATTGAAGCCCGTTTCTGTCTGGGGATCCCTGATGCTGACATGACTGAGCCTGCGAACATATGTAGCCGCTGTTTGTTTTCCCCCTCTCGTGAGGAAGAAGTGAGCTTGTGTCAATGAGAGCTGGCGTCAACATCCTGGGCCTGATATTTCCGTGACAGCTGACGGCCGCAGACACACTCCCTGGCTTGGCGCTCCTCCGGGAGTGTCGGTGGCAAGAGAGTCTGCACTCTGACTGCCCAGGAGGAAGGGGGCCCGTGGGGGAGGCCTGGGGAGGATGTGACCGACCGGCAGCCTGCAGCGAGTGGGAGGAAGCCAGACTTGTAGAATAGTTCAGGCACGGACAACCCCCACCCCACCCCAAGCCATGATCAGCTAGGGGACATGGTGAGGCATATCCATGGTGAGGCGGACGGACAGAGGCAGTGGGAACCCCTTTCTTTCACGCTAACATGTGCAAACTGCGCATGTGCTGTTTCAACGTGCTGCATGAATTGCTTCCCTCAAGTTGTGCAACTGTCTCCATTGCCCATTTCCATACTTTCCCAACACCCTTCACAGAAGCACAGTGTCTCCCCCTAACCCCCAGCCCCAAATCTGCCTGTCCCTTTCCTTTCCACCTGCCCCTGGCAGCCGAGAGTGAGCCCTGGCCTCTTAATAGTTGTCCGCTCTAGATATTCCATAGATTGCAGGAGAAAGATGGGGCAGCCTGCTCCCCTAGGATTGCAATGCTGAATGCCCTGGGAGAGGCGGGGGGGAGCAGTTCTATTCTGTCTACGGAGTGGCTGTGCATTGGGAATTGGGCGGATGGCGGTGGGCTTCTGGGTTCTAGATACGGCATATGCTTGTCCTCTGGGGACTAAGTGATTCCGTCCATGTTGTAACTGTGTGCCAGGGCTTCCCTTCTCTCGATGGCTTCTCTTTGTTGACCCGTCCATCTGTTGGTGGAGATGTTTGCCTTGTAAACTCCCACATGTTGCCCTTGGCTCTCTGCTTTTCCCATCTCCCCGCCAGCAATGCCCTTCTCTCCCCCCTTGGGCTCATGCATGGCTAGAGAAGAGGAAGCCACCAGCTTGTGTTGGGTTATCCAAAACAGGCCCTTCTGCTTAATCATTCTCCATTGAACAGTGTCTAGGAAGTACCCCTGGCACACTCGGCAGTGAGCTTCAGCCAGTACTCATGCAAGCCTCACCTGTTGTTGTTAGCTGCCAGGGAGTCAGTCCCGACCCATAGCGCCCCTAGGCACAACAGAACGAAATACTGTCCAGTCCTGCGCTGGCTGCACCATTGTTCTGTGTGAGCCATGGTTGTAGCTCCTGCGTCTGTCCATGTTGTTCTAGAGCCTTCCTCGTTTTCACCGTCGCTCTGCTTTACCAAGCATGATGTCCTTTTCTGGGGCTGGGTCCTTCCTGACCACATGCCTGCCCCAAGCTTGTGGGCGGAAGTCTCCACATCCTGGTTTCGAAGGATCATCCCAGCTGTCCTTCTTCCAAGACAGGTTTAGCTGTTCTTTTGGCGGTCCACGGAACTTTCATTATCCTTCATTGTTCTTCTTGGGTTGCACCTGGCACCTGGCTGAAAGGGCAGGGCTCTCACAGCCTGGCCTACTGAATGGTGGGTGGAGTCTGGAAAGTAGGTCTTCAGTTAGCACCCCAGGTGTCTCCTGTGCCTTTTGAGAAATGCTCCCCGGCAAAACAGGGGTGGCTGTTGACCTTTCCCACCACGAGCCCAGTGCTGGGATACCCAGTCAGCAAGGTAAGTGCGGTGAACCATTTCCCACTTTCCCACTTGCTCATCAGCGGTGAACAATTTCCCACTTTCCCCACCACATCCCAGATTCTGTGTCAAGGTCTGGCTGCCGTCAGCATCTCTCCCAGCCCCACAACCGATTCCCCTGGAACCAAAGCCTACAGACCCGGTTTTCACCACACGTACGAGGGTGTTTCACATACGAAATGTGGGTCTCCCCGCCTGTGAGGCTGTTCATGACAGACTAATAAGTAAGCACAAGTAAGCCCATGCTTACCTTGCTTATCAGGTGATCCGCCCCTGCATGTGCCAATCTGATGCTCTTGAGTCCCCTGCTAAGGCTTAGTCACTGTGCTAGGGGCTGGGAATAGAATCATTAAAAGAACATCAAGGACTTGTGCCTGGGGTGGGGACTGGGGGCAGGGTTTGCCTGTAGCTCCCTGCTGAGAAGACTCCTGAAGGCTGGTTCAGTGGAAGGAAGTCACCTGGCTGTCACCCACAGGTGCTGCCATTGCCATGCCTGCCTTTTCTGCTCTTGGCCACTGTTAGCTTCGAACACCCTAGCTTGTGGTTAGGTGTCATTAAGCCCGCTCGGACCCATAGCCACCCTGTGTGCAACGGAAGCTTGAGACACTGCCTAGTCCTGCACCATCCTCACAACCGTTCCTATCTTCAGCCAGTTGTTGCAGCCACCGGGTCCTTCCATCTCATCGAGGGTCTTCCTCTTTTTCGCTGCCCCTCCACTTGACCAAGCCTGATGCTCTTCGCCAGGGACTGGTCTCTCCTGACATCTGGTCCAACACTCTAGGTAGAACTGTCTTATGACCCAGGTCTTGAGGGAAGTGGGCAGAAGACATGGAGTCCCTGCCAGGGTGAAGAGTTCTTGGACAAGATACGAGACAGAGGGGGCTTGGGGGCTCTAGGACTTTCCAGCCAGGGGCCAGAGTTGAAGATGGGGAGATTCATAGCATGTATATGGTCAGCCAGAGAGCAAGCATGATGAGACAAATGGCCACACCCACTTGAGCCCAGCAATGCCCTCCTCACACCCATCCCGGCTCCTGCCCCTCTCTAATGGTTACCAGCTCTGGACTGCAGGTTCCAGACCTTGTGGGGGACAGGGAGCCTGACATGAGGCCCCCAGGGCCTGGCGGAGGTGGGTGGGGAGATCCTTGTCTTGCTTGTGCAGCATTTGTTTGGGGGGTGGGCTGTTGCTTTTTATATGGTTTCAACATCTCTTTGGTGAATTAAGGTTCTGCATACAGAAAAGCTACTTATATAACGCGTTACTCACTGCCGACTTCCTTGCTCTCTGTGGTGTGGGAGCAGATGCTAAATCAGGACCCTGGTGGCCGGGCCTGTGGTTTCAGACTGCGTATCCCACCCCAACCCCCCACCTGCTCCCTCCGGCAGCAACTGTGAAGTGGACGCCGAGGCTCAGCAACACCCTTCTCTCCGAGTCTTCTCATGTCATGAGGAACGGCTTTGTGGTCGGGGGGCCATCTGCCTCTGTATCCCCCGAGGAGCTTGTTAAAAATGAGATCCTCCCCTAGCCAAGTGAATTGGAATCCCAAGGGGCAGGGTGTTGGGGCGATGCCTTTCAAATGCTAGGTTTTAACAGCCCTGGGTTTAGACGGCACCCCCTGCGGGTGCCTTTGGTTGCAAAAGGTAGTGCAGAAACCCATCGGTTGGCTGATCCACCGCAATTCCTTGGGTTTTAAGCTCACACATAGGAAGACAGCATGGCCCTTCAAACCTCACACCTGGAGTCCTTTCTCTTCCTCAAAGATTCACTTCCACTCCTCATGGCCATTAAGTTGATTCCAACCCAGAGTGACTGTGCCTCGAATTTCCAAGTCTGTAAGTCTTTATGGGAGCAGGCAGCCTCCTCGTTCCTCCCCACTGAGTGGCTGGTGGGTTAACTTAGGCTAGGCTCCACCTTTCTCCCGTGGAGTGGCTGGTGGGTTTGAACCAATGACCTTATGGTTAGCAGCCCCGTGCCCAGCTTACAAACCCAGCATCATTTCACCTCCACGTGGATGCATTTCTGCCAGGCCTCTCCAGTTCCCCCTGTTTCTGTTGCCAGTTCTGTGTTTTCACTGCAGATTTGCACAGCAAGTTAGGTTACTTTTCAGCAGGCATGTTTGCAGTGCACCGGACCGGCCATATCAGTCCAGAAAAGCCATCAGTTGACCAACCCCGCCCATGTTCCCAACCAGGAGAGCTGGGTGTAGCGCTCTCTTATCTATCTGAGCCAAGGTGCTGACACT